TTATAATATTTCGAACCCTGGGTGTGACCTAAAATGGCACAGGTTACATTAATAATATTCATGGTAGAATAATAAAAGAAAACCATACTTTACCTTTTCTAAATATAATACAAGGCGTTAACAATAGGCTAATCCTTGTTGTCTACCGAAAATCAAATACCAAAAATGATCTCATAAATTTCTATTCTCACCATAATGACAAAATGAAATCAGTAATAATTATCGGATTCTATTTACGGACACTCAAAATTAAGAGGATAAAGTCATTGAAATTGCTCTAAAGCCCCTGCAATTCTCTATTTTATATTCAAGACAAAACAAAGGGCTCATGAAATATTCCAAAATAGAAAAGCGTCCACTCGTGACAAACCTAACAAATCAAAAAATAAAAATAAAAAATTCGTAGAAACCTCAGAAAATTTCAATAAAATATTTTATGAACACAAAAGGTATCTTTTAAAAAACAACACACTCAGCGCATTGGATAGTCACCATCAGTTTGGTATTGTAATGGTATACATCGTAATGCTAATTGTAATGTTCGACTGATATCATACTAGTAATGCTAATGGTATACATAATAACAATAATGGTAGTCATTGAATGATATCATAATGATAATGGTAATATTATACCTCGTAATGTAACAGTAATGATTGAATGATACCATAATTGTAATGGTATATATCGTAATGGTAATAGCAATGATCGAATGACATCATAATGGTAAACGTAATGGTATACATAGTAATGTATGTGGTAATGATTGAATAACATTATAATGGTAATGGTATTCATCATAATGGTAACGATTGAATGACATCATAATGGTAATAGATAATGCTTTAATAGCATCATGATGGTAATTGTATACATCGTAATGGTAATGGTAATGTTTGAATGACATCATAATGGTGAAGGTAATGCTGTACATCATAAGGTATATGGTAACGATTGAATGACATCATAATGGTAAATGTAATGGTATACATCAAAATGTATTTTGAATGACATCATAATGGTAATGGATAATGCTTTAATAGCATCCAAATGGTAATGGTATACATCGTAATGGTAATGGTAATGTTTGAATGACAAATGAAGAAATGAAATTCTCAATAGATAAGTTCTATTTAATGAATATCAATTGTATAGTTATCGAAAGTGCAGGCGATTGTCTTTCTTGCCCGGATTAAAAACATAGTTTTGAGTGTTGTAAAATCATTGCTATACAATGTTCTCAATTTATCCAATTTCTCCTTCTGCTTTACTTAGTCAGGCTTTGCATACATCGATTACAAAATATCGATTAGGATTTATATAATATCGATCAAACGGCATAAACGCATAAGGCACAAAAGAAGTAAAAAAGGGAGAAAAGAAAAAAAAGCAAAAGACAAAAAAACGACAAAAATGAGACAGAAAGAAAAAGTGAGTGCTGAGAAATGGGGGAGTGGCAAAGAAAGAGAAAGGGAGAAGGAAGAGAGGAAAAGCATAAGGAGAAGGGAGGTAGGGATGAAATTGAGGGAAAAGGAAAGAGTCGAAAAAGGGATGAGGATGAGGAGAACGGAAGAGATGAGAACATCAGAGGAAGGAGGAGGAGAAGGTAGAAAAAGAAAAAGTACAAGAGGAGAGGAGAGGAGAGGGAGAAGTAGGATAAGGAGAAAGAGATGGAGAAAAAAAAGAAGTAAAAGAGAATTAGAAGAATGAAAAGAACAGTGGGGGAGAAGGAAGGAAGAAAGAAAGAATAAATGAAGAAAGAGTAGAAAAGAAAGTAGAAGTGGGGGGAAGGGAATCGCCCGAGAAAGGGGGGAGACATTGAAAATAATTAGGAGGGGAAAGTTGAGAAGAAAATGAAAATTCGGAAAAGGGGTAGAAGAGGAAATGTAGGAGAAGGGGAAAAGGAGGAGAAGGCGAAAATGAGGAGAAGAGGAAAAGGAGGATAAGGGGAAAAGGAGGAGAAGAGGAAATGGAGGAGAAGGGGAAAAGGATGAGAAGAGGAAAAGGAGGAGGAGGGGAAAAGGAGGAGAAGAGGAAAAGAAGAAGATGGGGAAAAGGATGAGAAGAGGAAAAGGAGGAGGAGGGGAAAAGGAGGAGAAGAGGAAAAGGAGGAGAAGAGGAAAAGGAGAAGAAGGGGAAAGGATGAGAAGAGGAAAAGGAGGAGGAGGGGAAAAGGAGGAGAAGAGGAAAAGGAGGAGTAGAGGAAAAGGAGAAGAAGGGGAAAAGGAGGAGGAGGGGAAAAGAAGGAAAAGGAGGAGAAGGGGAAAAGGAGGAGAAGAGGAAAAGGAGGAGAAGAGGAAAAGGAGGAGAAGAGGAAAAGGAGGAGAAAGGGAAAATGAGGAGAAGGGGAAAAGGAGGAGAAGGGGAAAAGAAGGAGAAAACCGGAGGAGGAGGAAGAAAGGGGTAGAAAGAGAAATGAAGAAGGGAGGTGATGCAATAAAGAAAGATCAGAGAGGGTAGATGAAGAGAAGAAAAAATATATTAAGCCGAGAGTGAAAAGAATGAGGGGGGGGGGAGATATAAAAAAAGTCGACAAAGAAGGAATGAGTTGGTGATGGAGAAATTGGGGGATGAACAGAATAAAGAAAGATAAAGAAAAAGAACAGAAGATAAGGAGTAAGACAAGGAAGAGACAAGAAAGGATAAAGTAAGAGGAATAAGGAAGAGAAATAAAAGAAGCAGGGGAAGGGGAGGTAAATACATGAATAAAGAGAGAAGAAAAAAAATGAGAGGAGATGGAAAGAAGAAAGAAGAAGGAATAAAAGAAGAAGTACGAGAAAAAGAAAAGGAGGAGAAAGAAGGAAGATGATAATGTGGGAGGAGAAAGAGAAAAGGTGGAGGAGAATCAAAAAAGCAGAATGAAAAGGAGATGGAGAAAAAGTGAGAACGAGATAGAAGAAAGAGAAGGACTGATATGAAAAATTGAAAAAAAAAATGAAGAAAAGGAGACTAGTACAAAAGAAGGAAGGAAATACTAGACGAAGGAGAAGAGGAAGAAGATATTGCAGACAAAAGACTTAGTAGACGAAGAACAATAAGCAGAAAGGATCAAAAGAGTAAGAGAAAGAAAGAAAGAAAGAAAGAAAGAAAGAAAGAAAGAAAGAAAGAAGGAAAGAAAGATAAAAGAAGAAAAGAAAGAAAGAATAGAAGTAAGACAAAAGAAGAATCATTAGATAAGTGTACAGAGAAGGAGAGAAAATGAAATTTGAGAAAGAGAAAAGGAAGGTGGAAAGGTTATGAAAAGGGAGATAAAATCAAAGGTAAAACAAAGGAAGAAGAAAAAAGGAAGAAATGTTAAAGAAATTATTATCATTATTATTATTATTATCATTATTATTATTATTATTATTATTATTAGTGGTAGTAGTAGTAGTAGTAGTAGATGAAAAAGAAGAGAAGACGAAAGAGAAGAGAAAGAAGAAAAAGTGGGGGAACAATATAGTCTTAAAGTAGGAGACAAAACTTATCGATGTTTAACACCTAAAGAAACCTAACCAGAAAAGAAAGGAAATTAATTTGATGTGAAGGGGGAGTATAATAATAATAATAATAATAATAATAATAATAAGAAGAAGAATAAGAAGAAGAAGAAGAAGAAGAAGAAGAAGAAGAAGAAAAATAATAATAAGAAGAATACAAAGAATAAGATAAGAAGAAGAAGAAGAAGAAGAAGAAGAAGAAGAAGAAGAAGAAGAAGAAAGGACAGGAGATGAAGACAAATGAGGAGGAGGAGAATAGACTTGCGAAAAATAAGGAAGACGATGAGAAAGAAGGGAAAAGACATAAAGAGAAGAAGAAGAAGAAGAAGAAGAAGAAGAAGAAGAAGAAGAAAGGACAGGAGATGAAGACAAATGAGGAGGAGGAGAATAGACTTGCGAAAAATAAGGAAGACGATGAGAAAGAAGGAAAAGACATAAAAGAGAAGAAGAAGAAGAAGAAGAAGAAGAAGAAGAAGAAGAAGAAAAGGACAGGAGATGAAGACAAATGAGGAGGAGGAGAATAGACTTGCGAAAATAAGGAAGACAATGAGAAAGAAGGGAAAAGACATAAAGAGAAGAAGAAGAAGAAGAAGAAGAAGAAGAAGAAGAAGAAGAAGAAGAACGGACAGGAGATGAAGACAAATGAGGAGGAGGAGAATAGACTTGCGAAAAATAAGGAAGACGATGAGAAAGAAGGGAAAAGACATGAAGAGGATAAGAAGAAGAAGAAGAAAAAGAAGAAGAAGAAGAAGAAGAAGAAGAAGAAAAATAATAAGAAGAATACTAAGATTAAGAAGAAAAGAAAATGATGATGATGATGATGATGATTGATGAATAAGAAGACAAAGAAGGAAGAAAAGAAGAAGAAAATGAAGAAAAAGGAGAAAAGAAGAAAAAATGAAAAGAAAGAAAATAATAATTTTAAGAAGCTTATTAATCTGTAATAATAATAATAATAATAAGAAGAAGAAGAAGAAGAAGGAAAGGTGGTGATTCATTACTTGTGCTCATTCTTCCGTTTTTCGGAGCACATCTTTTGACTCAAATATTTGATTGTCGTTTTAAGTTAATTAGTGCAGTCTTGAATTAGAGATTTGACGCGAAGTTATCTGCACACACACACACACACACACACACACACACACACACACACACACACACACAC